GCCAAACCTGTGATGGATTGAATAGTTAGGTCCAGATCCAAATCCAAGTTGCTTTGAATGAGATGCTTCATAATGAAGATGAAGAGTCAAATTCAGACATCGCCCTTTCTAGGTTAGGTTAAAGGTTTGTTTAACCTAGATTCAGACATCCTTAGAGTGACTTAGGTTTAGGGTTTCTGAAACAGATAAAAAAAATGGGGGATTAGGGTTAGGGTTTCTCTAATTCAGGCATGGTGATAGTGGATTAGGGTTTGGGGGTCTCTGAATTTGGAGTGGAGTATGCATGATTTGGAGTTGAATCCACCATAAATCGCACAAGGTTCAATCGGTTCTCTTTTTTGGCAAAGACGAGTTGTGTTCTCTCTCATAGCTTCTTTCTTCTATCAAAGTGATGAATGGTGTTTAAGGTTTAGTTTAGTACAAAGATATCTTACAAAGTTATTAAAGTCATTTTGATTTTGAACTGAATTATCAATTTTTATTTCTGAAAACAAAGACAGGGTAAGATTGTCATTTTGCACTTTCTGTTAGCAACGTTTCATTTCTAATGCTATTGGGCTCTGAGTGTCATTTGTGAAATGTCAAGAGATATCCATGTAATGAAGCAAAATGTGAAGGGGTGTCCATGTAATTTATCCGTCTTTTTCAATAAGTCTGGTCTAAAGTTGAGGAAGGTTAGATGTCAGCCAAAGGCTCGTGACACTGAGTTATAATAGAACAATCTAACCACTATATAAACGCCTGATATCTCTCAACTCAATCCAACAAAACCTTAATTTTAATTACTTGGGATCAATTAAATGAATATTCTTTCCTTCATTGCGCTCTATCAAGGGTCATATGTTCCATTATACCATAAGCTATCATATTATTTTTACTACATTTATTTTAGGCCTACCTCTATCTCTCACATATTGATGTATTATTAAGTTTTCTATAAATATGTTCAAAGAACCTAAGTCGATTCTCTCTTAATTTATATTCTTAATCATATTAATATATCTATTTATAACTCTTTTTCTCCAAAACCTGTCATATTATGTCCCTAGGCACGTCATCATTTGTATTCTCTAAGTCTATAAATACCATATGAATATATTTCTTTTTCTCTCTATACCTTTTCATTAATCTCCTAAGTATATATAACTTCCATAGTTGAGCTTCCAAGCATCAACACAATTGATTATCATATATGGTTATTTTAAGTCTTACTCGTTGCTCGATCATTCTCTTCTAAAGTTTCATTGTATAACTTGTTAACTTAATATCTCGATAGTTTGTGCAACTCTGAATATCTAATTTGTTTTTTTATATGGGTACAAAAATACTTTTCTTCACTCATATGATATTTTATTAGTTGTTATACTCTTGTTAAATAATTTAATCAATCAAGATACTCCAACATCTTCTAAATAAATTCATACCTCATTTGGTACACAATCAAAGCTTTTCTAATTTTTTTTTGGGCAAAACACAAATTTCAATAGCACCGTGAAATGAAAATAGATTTTTTAATTTTCATTTTCTCTAATGCATTATTTACTTCAGACACCTACTTCTACAATAAATCTATTTCGTTAGTCACCATTTGGTTATTATTTTGTTCAAACTCTAAGTTTTTCATACAATTTTCAGTTAATAACATCTCAAAATAATGTTTTCACCTTTCTTTAATGTTCTATCTCTTTTTTTTTTTTATCAAAACCATTGAATCATCGTTTTTAATACACTTAATGAGGTTAGCATCTCTATTTTTTCTTTCTGTTAATTTATCAAGACTCTATATACATTTCTCTCTCCATCCTTTGTATCTAGCTTAGAATAAAAATCAACACATACTTTATACATAAATTCTCTTACCACTTTTTAACTTTTTTTATTTGCAAGCACATATTATTTAAAATCTTCTTTTTTAGTCATATTTTTTAACTTTTTTTTTAATCTTACTTTGGACATCATTTTTTTTTATCTTACTTTGGATTGGACATCATTACTCTATCACCAAATTTCTTTGGCTATCTGTCCATTACCTTTTAATACTTCCTACCATCTTATTCTACGTTATATTAGTTTTATTTTCTAAATTACATATTACTTCTTTTAACATTTTCCAATACTAATTTCATTCCATTCCGTTTTATTTCATTTTCTCAGTGCTAAATTTCACATCGTTTATTGATGGAGGGACGATTTTAATATAATATATCCGAATTGAATTCTAAATTAGTATATTTAGTGTCGGTATTGAAGCACATCCGGATCCCAGTACCCAATGATCTTACGAATTGACCTTAGTTGAATTACATACATGTGACTTGTACAATACAAGTTACTTGTCACATGAGTAATGTGTCCATTAAAGCACTTTCTTCACTAACCATTCCTTGACTTCTAATACGCCATCTAGGTCAGCTGGAAAGACCCATTGGATCCCTTCACTTCCCAGCCTCTAAAAAAAAAAAGTCATAAGTTTCTTCGAATAGTATCCTAAGTTTTGTTTGTCTAACAATGTTGTACCTTTTGGTTCCTTGTTCCAGTTACATCTAAAAGAGCGGAGAAAAGAAAGGGAATTTGTTTAAAAGGCTTATGATTTGTTTGGTATAATGGAAAAATAAAATAATGAGAAGTTAGAAGGATAAAAAATTAGAGGGATAGATAAAATATTCTATTTAATAAGGAAAAAAAAATAGAAATTAAGAAAAAGTAGATGAATTAGTTTTTCTTTCAATTCACTAAAATCAATCTTTCCAAAATTGGGAAGAAAAATAATTATGTGTATTAAAATATATGTTATTTATCTATATATCATTTCATATATAAATATAGTAATAAAATATGCATCTATACTTTTTTCATTATTTCACTTTTCTATCCTATCAAATTCAAAAACAAAATAAAAATTCGATCATTCTTATTTTTAATCCCTCCTACCAAAGACAAATGAGGGAGCAATCATAGAAAGTTTATTACTCATATTTTCCATTTTTTTATTTTTTCATCCACCTTAACAAACACCAGTGGCGGAGCCACTTAAGGACCACATGCCCACCCTCAATTTGTTTACCTTATCATTATGTATTATATTTTTCTAACTATATCTAACGATGTTCACCTTATTATTTTTTTGAAAACTATTATTGGACGTTATCTAACTTTTGAACTCACAGCTGATCCAACGACTACATTGAATTAGGTCCCTATAACATTACTCTATTTTCTTATCATATCAATATTACATACTCATACTTAAATGATTAGCAATTGACATTCGGACATATTCGGATTAATTTGGATATTGAGTTCATTTTACAATCTTTTGATCAACTTGACCATTTATTATTGATGCACTTTATTTTGAAGTTTAAAATCAAGCAGAGATTTATGAGCTTGCTCAAAAAAAATTAAAATAAAAAAATACGTGGTATATCATTTAGTGTACATATATGTGATTTTAATATTAATTTATTAGTCATTAATAATGAAGTCATCAAATAACGCTATTAAAGTATGAAATTTTATTGAGTCAATTGTAACTAGCTACAATGAACCTCATTTTCAATAAAAGATTATAATTAATCTCTTTTCTGTTGTACACAAATATGCATAAAATTTTTAAGGATCATTGATAAAATAAAAAGTGTATATGTGTCATTTTGTTTTTATCAATTATAATAAAATGTGCTAAAGTGTTCACCTTAAAATATTTTTTTGGTTCAGCCACTGCCAAACACACCATTAGTTTTATTGTTGAGCATTCTCAATTCAAAGATCCAAACAAAGCCCAGAAAATTAGCATTCATCAACTTTGTTGGCCCATGCTTATTTTCAATGTGTTGATTTGAGTGCTCAAGTTATTTCATTAGGTAGGTCAAAAACAAGATCAATTTACTAAAGTGGAGCAACAATGGAATAGAACTTTGGATAGACTCCCTTGAGTTTTGATGAAATTGTATAATGACATCTTGATATTTAGAAAATAAGACATAGATTCATTGTCGCAAGTTTCGTCGATGAAATTTTTTATTTTGGCCTTTATTCGATCGAAAACTCATCATTTGTTACAGATATATGTTCAAAAGGTATATGTGATTGTTAAAACACGTAGAACTCAACAGGTATATTTTTTATTTCTGAAATATCAGGGGATTTTGGTGTGTTTTTGTAATTTACCCTAATTAATTTACACCCCAATGATGGAAAATGAAAGCAACCAAGTTATTTTTGTTTATTGCTGCCTAGGGCACATGAGATTCTATATAAACCGATCACAGTTGTAAAGTACAACAGCTTGAGTGCTGGAAGCGTAAGGTATTTAAATTTCTTAGAGTATAATTGTTGATTTTCTAACTGGAAAGGCAACCATATTTGGGTGCAACCAGGGATGCTTTTCACAAATTGGTGACCAGTTGCAGAACTTGGGTCTGGTTGTTTAACATTGTGAGTTTAAAGTCAATCTTCCATGGTGGTGACTTGTGGAGGATGTGTTCTCTGGAATAATGCATCATCCCGATTCTCTCTGATATATTTTATTTTCAAATTTTTAATACTAAATCATCAGATGTGGATTTAAATACCAACATAAGCCATTTACTATATATTCATGTCATTTGATCGTGTCATTTTTGGATTAATGTCGAAATTAGTCAGGCTAAGTCCGCTGTAAATTAGTGATGCTCACGTACTATCACTCCTAACTAAAAATAAACCATGCATAACTTACAGTGGCGTGCAAAAATCAAAATAAAAGGCTTTTACGTGCAACTTATGCTCTCTAGGGTTTGACTTTATAAGGTTAAAAGAGCCATGTGAGACCACCAAGATGTGCTAAATAAGGGAAGCTTCACTTGCCAAGAAGGCATGTACCCAACTAGCCTTTCTAGATTCAAGGGCACATAAACTTATACTTTATGTTGGTCTCTTTGGAAACCTTTATAAAAGGAGACAATGTCCATGGACTTTAATTCACAGCCTCCCTCATACCAAACTACGTCAAAGCTCAAATGGCTCAAGCCACAACGAGCTTTTATGCCTTTTCCATCCTCCTACTAATGGTGGCGATGGCCGAGGGAGCTCCGAAAGCTAAGTTGGTTAAATGTAAGGACAAGAAGTTTAGTGATTGTTATCAGCAGCCACTTTTCTGCCCCGCAGATTGCTTACGAACGTGTGTAGTTGATTGTGTCTCGTGTCAGCCTGTTTGTATTGCTCCACCACCACCTCCGCCATCTCCACCACCACCACCGCCAAAACAAAAAAAGCGCTCACCTCCGCCTCCACCTCGTTCTTCACCACCACCATCCCCTCCTCCTCCTACAATTGTTGCCACCCCTCCTCCTCCTCCTACTATTTTTGCCTCTCCTCCACCTCCGACTCCTGTTGCCAATTCAACTCCACCTCTTCCTCCTCCTTCACCACCTTTGAGTCCTCCTCCCACCTCACCATCATCAACATCTCCTAAGAAGGTTTACTGCAGTAACAAGGCCTACTCTGACTGCTACCGCATGGAGCACTACTGTCCTAGTGCATGTCCTGAACAATGTGAGGTTGATTGTGTTACCTGTAGCCCTGTTTGCAGTAAGTACTTTTTTCTTCATACTTGTTTATTGACAACACTCGTAACTTTTATTTCATATTTCACTTTTTTCTTGTCTGAGTTTGTTCCCTTCTCTCACAGTGTATTATGTGGTGATATTTTATTTTGCATATGGTTGATCTAGAAAAATCATAGTCAAACATAGTTGTTAAATTTACTTTTTTGCTTGATATATAATAGTAATAAAAGAAACCAAACAGAGTGTGTACTTTCTAAAGAGTAATACAATTTAGACTTAAAATTTTAACTTAATTTATTGTCATAATGGTGTTGTTTTACCGCATTTTCTAAAGTATTGCATATTTTAACACCACTTGTTATTGTGAGCAGATTGCAATAAGCCAGGAACAGTATGCCAAGACCCAAGATTCATTGGTGGTGATGGAATCACCTTCTACTTCCATGGCAAAAAAGGCCACGACTTCTGCATAGTCTCTGACTCCAATCTACACATCAATGCTCACTTCATAGGAAAGAGAAACCAAAACATGAAGAGGGACTTCACTTGGGTTCAATCCATTGGCATCCTCTTCGACAACCACCAACTCTTCCTAGGCGCCAAAAAGACGGCAACTTGGAATGATGCCATTGATCATCTCGACCTAGCCTTCGATGGGGAATCCATCTCCCTCCCTGATGGTGATGGCGCTACCTGGACCCCAGCCCTGACCTTGGCCTCGGTTGTGTCCATCACAAGGTCTCATGACACCAATGCCGTAGTGATTGAAGTTGAAGGGAACTTTCAGATCAGAGCAACAGTAGTGCCAATTTCCGAGAAGGATTCGATTATACACAACTATGGTATCACTGAGGAGGATTGCTTTGCTCATCTTGATTTGGGCTTCAAGTTTTACACATTGAGCGGTGATGTTAATGGTGTTTTGGGTCAGACATATGCTGGGAACTACGTGAGCCGTGTTAAGATGGGAATCAACATGCCTGTTTTGGGTGGAGAGAGAGAATTTTCCTCTACAAGTCTGTTCTCCACAGACTGTGCTGTTGCTCGATTCAATGGTAGTTCAAGTGCTTCTTCGAAGATTCCCGAAGTTGCTGACATGAATTGTGCAAGTAGGATTGATGGGAGTGGAGTAATCTGCAAGAGATAATTTAAGCTCTCTTTGAATGGTAATAAAATAAGGTCAGAATCCATTGGTGTGTGTATGGCATCTGACCATCTCAAATGTTAATTTAACTTTGATACTTGATTACTTAATAAGATACTTAAAAAGGAAAAATTCCTATTCGTCGTGTCTGTTTAGTAGTAGGAAAGAAATCTGTGTGCATTTTGAGTTTCATTTGATGCCTTCGTTTTTTTTCGTAATCTTCTGCTTAGTACAAAAAGAAATACATGAATAAAATTCACCCAAATTATAATTTCTCTTTGTAGAAATTATCTCCTTGAATGTCTTATTATGAGGGTTCTTGGCAATGTTGAGATTCGTCTGTTTAAAGGATATAGATTAGAGACTTTTCGTCTTACATATGCTTTTACATTCAACCGGCATCTTCCATCCAAAAATAAATAAAAAATCAACACCTTTCCCTCTAGTCTCTCCTTCTTTGTTTATCTCATTCTTGTAATAAAATCACCCCATGGATCTATGTTCTACAAAACTATTGTATAGCTTACAGAATAGTATTTTGTAATACCTCTAATATATTGTTGTTTTCATGGGAAAATTTTAAATTACAATTAATAAAATCATACTTGCGATCACAAAAAGATTGGATGGATTACTATATATTGTCTATTCAAAAATTTTTACTGACAAATATTGAGGCAAAGCTTAACTTGTATTCAACTCATTAGAGAAGAAATAAAGAAAGGGTTATGCAACTAACATGGACCAAATCTAAAAGAGCAATGCTATTGGAACCTAATTTATTGATCTAATTTGCTGATCAAATTCACTATGACATTTGGATTGATTGTGGGCTCCATCAAACATTGAAACTCGGTGTTAATCCAATGATTTCAATGAAGTCACATCATTAGGTCAACAAATTATGTCAAATTTTTAGGTCTAAATAGCATTTTCTAATCTAAAAATTTATTCGTGATCCATTGCCGCCACCTAGTCACTTGAGATTCCTTTTTTGTATTGGTGGCATTGGATAAGCTTTCAAGGAAGAAAGTCAAATTTTCTCTAGTTTCTCCTGTTATGGAAAAGCTCCTCCCCCCCCCCCCCCCCCTCCCTCCAAACCACCACCACCACCACTTAAAAGATGATGAATATGAAGTTTATTCTACGTTTTGAAATGGTCCTATTTAAAACTTTCACTGAGGGCTTCAATTTTTCGAGCTTGATTTCCGCATTGGCGCTAAGGCTCATGGAACAATCCTTCTTGTCCGAGGTTATTTTCGTTTGGGTAAACCCTAAATGCATGATCATCAGAAGTTCTTTCTTGATTCTGAAATTAAATACGAAGCTGCTGATTTCTCAAGATTGCTTAGCTATCTAGAGATGGTTGATTCATATGACCCAATGTTGTTATCTAGTTTTTTTGGCAAGTAAAATTATCTTTTTTAACCTAAAGTATCCATCCAAATATAAAAGGTATACCCCTAAAACCAAATTGCATCGAGAAAAATAAAAGAAGAGGTTAGGAGGATGGTGATTCTTCTAAAACTACAAGAAGCCCCATCCTCTCCTCAAAAGGATCACTATATAGATATAAAAGATGTAGGCATCAAGGACTGCTAACAGAAGACACTAGACAAGAAACTTAAGCTGTGTAGATTCATGCAATCAGCAAATTTAGAGAATCGACCATGACTTGTGCAATCTATAAAATTATCTACATGAGTGAAAAAAAGCCAATCATATCTTCGCTATTGTTTCAAGGAAGAAAAACAGATTTGCATGAGTTATATATCCTATCATCCATCTTAAAGAAGAGTCAACCTCGCATAGATATATGCATGGTACTTGAAAGGGATCAAAATCTCTGAACTCTGACATGACAATTGTATTAAAAACACTTGGTAGGATCACGTGTAGGACTGATTCATCGGTTTGGCGATGACCAAACAAGAACAAACGAAGGCTCAGTAAATCAAGAAATGGATCAAAATATTGATGAATGATGGTAAACTGTTTGAGAATTTATGTCGGTATTACAAATTAGTTGAAAAGTTTAATTATCTCACTGATTGGGTCTACGTTGGATCCCTTTTCAATTAATGAAATTCTTACTTATCGAGAAAAAAAAAACATTATTAGATGCAAATTGTAAAATATTTTAACCCAAAAAAGCATTTTTGGGATTTATAAGTCATCAATTTAAACCAAGATAAATCATAAGTTTTATTAGGCTTCCCCAATAAAATGAAAGATAATTCTATTTGATCAAATGCACTGAAATGAAATTACTGGAAAAAATCAGCATAGAATAGTTAGTTATACGCATTTTTCAGATCCAAAAGAACACCATTTTAATTTTGATACTTTTTCCAGATTTTTTTCATTAATTTGGTTTTAAATTTTAATATATTTTTCATGCTTAAGCTAAAAATATTCATATATTAGCTATTTATTATTCACTTTTTGCTCCTCTAAAATGAAATCCTGACTCTGCTCCTGTTCAACAGGCGGCCATTGTTACTATTCATAGAAGAAACAGAGCTTACCTTCACAAGGACAAGGTAAAGTACACCACAGGTTGAGTGGTGGAAGGATAAGGTATTTTGAATAGCCACAGTTGAGTGGTTGGCGGCCATTGTTACTATTCATGGAAGAAACAGAGCTTACCTTCACAAGGGCAAGGTAAAGTACACCACTGGTTGAGTGGTGGAAGGATAAGGTATTTTCATACTAAATTCTTTTAAAGAAGAATTGTTGATTTTCTGAAGTGGGAAGGCATCCGTATTTGGGTACATCCAGGAAACTTTCAACGGCTCTGTGACCATTTGCAGAACTTGGGTAGGTCGTATCTTCCATGGTGGTGCCTTGTGCAGCGGCGGATTTAGTATGGGGGCAGTGGGGCAACTGCCCACTGAAATTTTAAAAAATTTTAGACCTTAAGTGTAGTTTTAAAAATTTCAAGAATTTTGTCAATTTATTTCCGCTGAAATTTTTTTAAATTATAGGATATATTAATATAATTTTAAACCCTTTTGATAACTCCTCCTCATTTTTCATGTTTGGCAGTTGGCCCCCACTAAAATTTTAAAAAATTGAGACTTAAGTGTAATTTTAAAAATTTCAAGAATTTGTTAAACTTACCCCACTAAAATTTTTTATAAATATATGATATATTAATATAATTTTAAACCCTTAAAAACTAACTTTTGACAGCTCCTTTTCACACCTGTTTTTTTTTTTTCGTAAGCTTTCATCTTCTTCGTCCAGACTTCCAATCCAGTCCAACTGGCAGCCCCTCTTCTTTCTTTTATTTATTTTCTTTATTATTTTCTTTGGTGTATTCGTCAACAAATCACCCTATTGGATTTAATCATTGTGCAAATCAAATTTAAAGAAACCCTAGAAGATTATGTTGAAGCTAAAGAGAGATAATCAATTAACTAAATTTTTTGATAGTAGTATTGACACTAATCTAAAATTAAAATTTTTAAATTAGAAAATTAGTTTAACTCTTGTAGAATTGATGGTTGTTTGGTGTATTATTTATGGACTTATGTAGGTTTTTTTTTTGTTTCGTCTTGGGTCACCACTCAACTATTTCGAATTTTTGTTAAAGCCCTGTTCAATTGGCTATATGAAATTCTTGGTTAGTGCTATTTTTCTTCCCTATGATTAAATTGCTTTAATTGATTTCTTGAAATTCTAGTTGGGATTATATTTTGGATTTATAGATTATATTTTGATTATGTGTAATCTATTATCTCATTTGTTACGAACTTAATGACGAATTCTTAAACTTGAATTTAATTAGACAAATTTATTTAATCAGCTATGAATATGTTGCCCCCACTAAGACAAAATCCTAGCTCCGCCCCTAGCCTTGTGGAGGATGTGCTCTTTACTGGCTTTGATTTAAAAGCTTGACCTTGTTTTTAATATGTTTTTATTCAAATTTAAATTTAAATAAGGAGTAAAGATGACTTTATATTTCAATGGATTCCTCGATAATCGATAATAAGAAATATAATATCAAGGTAAATTGAGAGGAAGATCTAAGAGGTATTGGAGCGGGTCCAAATTCCCCCTACCTTCTTTTGTTTTATCATGTTAAAATCGAGTTATTACTCTTGCTTGTTGGACATGTGTTGAATTTTATTGTACTAGGGTTAACTAGTGTCTAAAGACACGGTACAACATAAATGAGAAGTGATAGATTTGGGGAGAAGGGGGTAAATTCCATGTGAATAATTTGGAAAGGGATGTTAGTGGTTGTTGGATTAGTCTATTTGAAACCATCGAAATGACTTATTAAAGAATGTCATATTTTATATCGTAGATATCTAATTTCCATATCAATTAAAAAAATTGACCATTTAAGAAAATACTAACATACCCCATTAAGAATTTGTACTACCTGGTCACATCATTGTCAGGTTTTTGTTGAACATTAGTTGATTTTAACTACCATTTTTGTACAGAATTTGTGTCATGTTAATGTATTGTTATTTGAATGCCTTATCACTACCTAGCTTGCAACTTACAATGGCGTGCATAAACCAAAGCCGAAGGCTTTTTAATTACAGATTATGCTTTCTAGGTTTTGACTTTTAAAAGGTTTGAATGGCTATGTGAGACCACCAAGAGGTACTAAATAAGAGAAGCTTAATCCACTAACAAAAAAGGCATGTTGCCAACTAGCCTTGCCAGATTTTAGGGCAAATTACTTTACACTTTATATTGATCTATCATAAGCCTTTATAGAAGGACACTTTCTGAATGAACTTTGATTCATAGTCTCCCTCTTATCATCAAAAGTACATCAAAGCTCATATGGCTCAAGCCACATTGAGCTTTTACGTCCTTGCCATCCTCCTCCTAGTGGTGGCGGTGTCCGGGGGACCTCCAAAACCTAAGGAGGGTAAGTGTAAGGACAAGAAATTTCCTAATTGTTATGAAAAAAAACTATATTGTCCCGACGCTTGCTTACGTTCCTGTGTAGTCGATTGTGTTTCGTGTCAGCCAGTATGTATTGCTCCACCACCACCGCCAAAACAAAAGAAGCGTTCACCTCCACCTCCTCCTACTAATGTTGCCACTCCTCCTCCTCCTATTGTTGTCAATCCTCCTCATCCAACTTCTTCCCCTCCTCCACCCACTAGTGTTGACTCTCCTCCAACTTCCACTCCACCACTTCCTCCTCAATCACCTCCTTTGAGTCCTCCACCAACTTCGCCGCCATCAACTTCCCCCAAGAAGGTTTATTGCAAGAACAAGGCCTACTCAAGCTGCTACCGCTTGGAGCACTACTGTCCTAGTGCCTGTCCTGACCAATGTGAGGTTGATTGTGTCACCTGTAGCCCTGTTTGTAGTAAGTACTTTCTCTCTCATACTTTTACTAAGAACATAATATCACATGTTTGCTGTACATTTGTTTAACAGAATAGCAACCTAATTTATACAAAATGTAATAATGTTTTTGAATTGTCCATAAAATAAAATAAGAAATAATTCCCGTCTATCTTTGAGTAATAAAATTCTTTGTAAGTGCCAATAAATCCTCTAGTGTTGGGGGTACGTACTACTAGATATAAATATTTTTTTCCCGGTAAGTTACTAGCTAGATAAACAATTACTAGAGCCTCATAAGGACTATAATTTTTTCTTCATTAATGATGGAAAATAAGCACTATAGTGGCATCACTTGTAATTCATATTACGGACAAAAAAATGTTATGTGCATCTAAAATGTTCACATAATAAATCAAAATTATTGAATTGGTAGTGACTAAAATCCTGAATTAAATCAATGTCCATAATTATTTACTCGTCCTAAGCTAAACCACATATATTTTACAATTTTTTGATAAACTTTGTTTTCGCTTGGAAAAAACTTAACCCTATACATAAACTTTCTTAAACCAAATTTTCATGGAGAAAATAACCTTTATAGAAATACAATTTGGTTCATACAAAATCCTAATGCCTCTTTTGATCTGTTGGAGCAAACTAAGAATTAACAGAGAAAGAGAAGAATATTTCAGTGTAATCTATTTTTTTATTAACTGCAAATGTGCTTAAATACAGCTAAAAAAAAACAGAAATTCCTATATTCCGGCTCAACCATGGAACATGCCTCCATGTTTAACAATTTAGCTAGAAAAATGGAAATGATGACTGAAATGCAATAGAACAAGTCAATAAATAAAAAACATAACAGAAAAAGAAAAATTACAGCAACTAAATAGGAAATGCAGTAGCTAAGTCAACTTCTTAACACTCCTCCTTGGCTTTGATGCTGCAAACTCCAAGTTTTTCCCTTAAAAACTCAAATTTGCTTCTTACCAAAGGTTTGGTGAAGATGTCTGCAACATTGTCATCAGTTTTGCAATATTTCAGAACAACAGAACCTTCTTTCTGCACATCTCTAAGAAAAAATAATTTGATATTAAAGTGCTTCGTTTTTCCATGAAAAACGGGATTGTTTGAGATAGCTATTGCTGCTTGATTATCCACAAACACATCTGTGCCTTCATTTTGCTTCAGGTTTAGATCAAATAACACCTTTCTAAGCCATAAAGCTTGATTTGCAGCAGCTGTAGCTGCAATAAACTCTGCCTCCGCAGTTGATTGTGCAACAACTTCTTGTTTTTTACAACACCAAGAGAACATTCCTGACCCCAGATTAAAACAATAACCTGAAGTACTCTTCATATCATCAGAACCACCATGATCACTATCAGAATAGCCCTGCAGAACATGAATCTGACTAGCACAGAACTTGATTCCGTGCTTCAATGTTCCTTTCACATATCTTAAAACTCTTTTAGCAGCAGAAAAATAAGTTTCAGTAGCACAATTCGTAAATCTAGATAGTAGACTCATAGAATGTAAGATGTCAGGTCTTGTGGCTGTTAAATACATCAAACAACCCACTAGACTTCTGTAAAGAGTTTCATCAACCTTTTCCGCTACATCTTCCTTGCTGAGCTTTTCATTTTTACCCATAGGAGTTGTAGCAATCTTGCACTCATCCATTCTGAATTTCTTCAGAATTTCTTTAGCATATTTGGTTTGGCAAATGAACACCTCTTTCTCCTTTTGTTGAACCTCCATTCCAAGAAAATATGCCATTTCCCCCAAGTCAGTCATCTCAAAGGTCTGTTGCATATCTTTCTTGAATTTATTCACAAGTTCCAAGTTGTTTCCTGTAACAAGTAAGTCATCCACATACAGAGAAACAACAACAAAATTGATCTCATCACCTTTGATGTAGAGGGTAGCCTCATTGAGACTTTTTTTGAATCCCAGCTGCATCAAATGCTCATCAATTCTGCTATACCAGGCCCTTGGTGCCTGCTTCAGGCTGTATAGAGCTTTTTTGAGCAAATACACATCTTCTTCTTGCTCTTTCACAACAAATCCCTCAGGTTGTTCTACATAGATCTCCTCATCAAGAAGACCATTTAGAAATGCTGACTTGACATCTAACTGGTACACTTTCCAACCCTTTTGAGCAGCAATGGCCAGCAGCAACCTGATTGTTTCAATTCTGGCAACAGGAGCAAATGTGTCAGAAAAATCAACACCAGGGATTTGAGCATAACCTTTCACAACAAGCCTTGCTTTATGCTTGTTTATAGAGCCATCTCCATTCAGCTTTGTTCTAAATACCCACTTCACTCCAATCACCTTTCTGTCATCAGGTCTTTTTACCAGCTGCCACGTTTTATTTTTCTCAATCATGCTCAACTCCTCCTTCATTGCAGCTACCCATTTTGGATCTCTTTCTGCCTCCTGAAAATTTTCTGGTTCCAGGACTGCAATGTTGCACTTCTGATAGATTTCATAAAGTGATCTTGTACCTCTGATAGGTTCATCATCAACCAAATCAGATTCGGACAGCTCTAGCAACTTTGAATCTTGACTTGGAATTTTACCAGCCTGATCTCCTCTCCAATTCCATTTAGCATCTTCCATAAAATGCACATCTCTGCTTATCAGAATTTTTCTTGTATCAGGTTGAAAAACTCTATAAGCCTTTGAAACTAAGTTGTATCCCACAAAGATTCCAGCTTCAGCTTTTCTGTCGAGCTTGTCTCTTTTAATCTGAGGCACATAAGTGAAACACAAGCAGCCAAACACTTTTAAATTCTTTAAAGAAGGTTTGTAACCATACCAAGCCTCAAAAGGTGTCCTCCCATCAACTGCCTTTGTAGGACGTCTGTTTAGCAGAAACACAGAAGTGTTAGCAGCCTCTGCCCAGTACTCTTTTGGCAACTGCTTCTCATGAAGCAAGCACCTGGCCATCTCCATCACTGTACGATTTTTACGTTCACTGACTCCATTTTGCTGAGGAGTATATGGAGCAGTGAGTTGATGTTCAATTCTAGCCTCTTCACAGAACTCACTGAAAGTTGCAGACGTGTACTCCTTCCCATTATCAGACCTCAACGTCTGAATTTTGCAGCCACTTTGTGTTTCAATCCAATTCTTGAATTTCCAGAACACAACAGCCACTTCTGATTTGAACCTGAGAAAATATATCCAGCACATTCTGCTAGAATCATCAATGAAAAACAGATAATACTTACTCCCATTAAGTGAAGGAGTTCTATGTGGACCAACCACATCAGTATGAATCAACTGAAGTTTTTCTGATGTTCTCCAGGTAGCTTTCTTGAAAGGAAGCCTTGATTGCTTTCCATATTGGCAAGCCTTGCATTCTGGCAATTCAACTTCAAGATTAGGCAAACCTTGAACAAGTTCATTCTTTTGCATATTCACCACTGCTCTATGATGAAAATGACCCAGCCTTCTATGCCACACTTCTGCATTCACTGTTGTTGCTGAGTAGACTGATTGCTTTGCCTGTAGAGGATCTAGTGCAAAACTCTTCCCTTTCATTCTCACTTTGAACATATCTTCATCTTTTGAGTTTTTGATTAAGCAATGATTGCCCTCAAAAACCACTTTAAAACCATTTTCAAGAAGCTGGCCAACACTCAGCAAATTTTGGTTAATGTTAGGTACAAATAACACTTCTCGAATAAGCTTTGTACCTTTTGAAGTTTCCACTGCAATTTTGCCTTTCCCTTTCACTGCGATACATTCTCCATTACCAATTTTCACTTTGGAAATGAATGCGTATCCAGCTCCTTGAATAGATCCCTGTCAAATGTCATGTGGTTGGTGCAACCACTGTCAATGAGCCACTTGTCACTTGAATGACTTGCTGCAAGACAGGTAGCTACAAATAGTTGCTCCTCTTCATGATCAGCTACTTGAACAACATTTTTCTGCTAAAGATCAACTTGAGCTACAACCTTCTGAATGTTGCTCTTGCATATTTTATGATGATGTCCCATTTTCTGGCACTTCTCACATTTCACATCAGGTCTCCTCTAGCATTTTGATGGTGGATGACCCTTTTTGTTGCAGTGCTTACAAGGAGGAAAGTCAGACTTTGATGAATCTGAACCTTCGTTCTTGTTTCCTTTGAACTTCCCTTTCCATCCTTGGTTTGTTTTCACCTTTGCAGCCAATGCTCCTTCAACAGAACCTTCACTTCTCATGAGCCTTCTCTGTTCTTGAGCTTGCAAAGCATGTATCAATTCTACCAAGCCAATCCTTGACAGATCCTTAGCATTTTCCAAAGAAGAGATGGTAGCTTCAAATCTTTCAGGGACAGTAACAAGAATTTTTTGAACTATTCTTGTATCAGAAAATTCAGAACCAAATAATCGTACCTTGTTTACGATATTGAGAAGTCTATCTGAATACTCTTTAATAGTTTCAGATTTCTTCATTTTCTGTATCTCAAATTCTCTAACCAGATTCAGCACTTGCATTCTTTTGATCTTCTCATTTCCCTCGTACTCCTTCTTGAGATAGTTCCATATATCAAAGGTTGTTTTCAAGGTCATGATTCTGGTGAAAATTGAAGATGAAACTGCAGCAAACAAGCAGCTTTTGGCCCTGGACTTCCTTGCCTTCCTTTCTTTGAAATTCTTCATTTGAGCCACTGTAGGATTGTCGGGTAGTGGAAGCACTTGGTAGTCTTCCTCAACAGCCTCCCAAAGATCATTTGCATCCAGATAAGCCTCCATTCTGATTGCCCAAACTTGATAATTTTCTCCATTGAACACAGGAGGTGCAATGGCATTGAAAGGAGTTTCTGCACTCGAAGTCTCCATTTTGGTGGATATACACTCAAATTCCTCACAAGTCCCTTATGAAGAGAGCTCTGATACCAGTTTGTTGGAGCAAACTAAGAATTAACAGAGAAAGAGAAGAATATTTCAGTGTAATCTATTTTTTTATTAACTGCAAATGTGCTTAAATACAGCTAAAAAAAACAGAAATTCCTATATTCCAGCTCAACCATGGAACATGCCTCCATGTTTAACAATTTAGCTAGAAAAATGGAAATGATGACTGAAATGCAGTAAAACAAGTCAATAAATAAAAAACATAACAGAAAAAGAAAAATTACAGCAACTAAATAGGAAATGCAGTAGCTAAGTCAACTTCTTAACATGATCAACCAAGCAACTGTTTGAAAATCAAAATCCAATACTCTTTTTCAACTTATTTAAAAAATTTATTTTGTGGTGTCAAAATGACCCCTCAAGTATTGCTTATTTGAACCCCACACTTGAAATTGTGAGCAGACTGCAATAAGACAGGAGCAGTATGCCAAGACCCAAGATTCATTGGTGGCGATGGAATTACCCTCTATTTCCATGGCAAAAAAGGCCACAACTTCTGCATAGTCTCTGACTCCAATCTACACATCAATGCTCACTTCATTGGAAAGAGAAACCAAAACATGCAGAGAGACTTCACTTGGGTTCAGTCCATTGGCATCCTCTTCGACAACCACCAACTCTACCTCGGTGCCAAAAAGACATCAACTTGGAATGATGCCATTGATCATCTTGACCTCACCTTCGATGGCGAACACGTCTTCCTTCCCTCTGTGAAGGTACTAAGTGGACCACGATCCTGAGCCCGACCCCGGGTGTCTCCATCACAACGTCTCATGACACCAACGCTGTGGTGATCGAAGTGGAAGGGACCTTTCAGAACAGAGCAACGGTAGTGCCAATTTCAGAGGAGGATTCGATTATACACAAGTATGGGATCACTGAAGAGGACTGTTTTGCTCATCTTGATTTGGGCTTCAAGTTTGACTCATTGAGCGGCGATGTCAACGGCGTTTTGGGTCAGACATATGCTGAGAACTACGTGAGTAGGGTTAAGATGGGAATCAACATGCCTGTTTTGGGTGGAGAGAGAGAATTTTCATCTTCAAGTCTGTTCTCCACAGACTGTGATGTTGCTCGATTCAATGGCAGTTCGAGTGCTTCTTCCAAGATTTTCCAAGTTGCTGACATGAATTGTGCAAGTAGGATTGATGGCCGTGGAATAGTGTGCAAGAGATAATCAGATAATTCATAACTCTATATATATATATATATATATATACACACACATGTGAAGGTTTGTCTAAGTATTTCATTTCAAGGTATAAGGTCAGAAAATGTATAGATTCTGGCCATTTCAAATGTTATATGGGATTTGTAATTATTTTTTTATAATAAGGTACGTATAATGAAAATTTCTCATTTATACATGTTTTGTGGCAGCGAAGAAATAGATGAACAAGATATACCTAAATTATAATAGCAGTGTTCATATTTTATTGGTATCTTTTTTGGTTCAACTATCGAGGGTGTTTGAATTAGTTTTTGCACACTTCAATTAATTTTATCACCGGTCCGATCAAAGACAGATCATTATATCGGGATAAATCTCATATGACATGATCTCACGAGATTATTAATGATAATATCCTAAATATGCCTAAGATTGAGCTTGTGTGCCATTCAGCCCATCACGATTGGATAGGGAACTGGAGGTCGGCACCACCTTCCCAGCAAGTGCACCTCTACAGGAATAGCACAAAAGACAGTTGGCTTCCACCCAAGCACCATACATAACATAATAGTCGTGCATCTGAGCAAAGAAGTCGCAACCGCCTTAACGATGACCATGACAGTCACATGAAAGGTGCAACCATTATAAGAAGAGGGCAAAGATAACGACCAGGATCATGCAAGACCTCTAAAGACTATAAATATGAGGCATATCCCTCACAACAAGACATAAGCATCTAGCCTAAGAAAATAATCTGTGTAATCTTCTCCCATTATCAATAATATATTCAGGAGTAAAAGACTCCCTTCAGAGTGGATTAATCGAACTCTCGAGCTGGTGAACCATTATAAACTCTCTGTGTTCAAACTCACATTCCCCTTTATTCAACTCTAACGAGCCTAAGGGCTCTAACTGGACCATTCAATGACCCATTAATCTATAAGTTTTGATCATTTGTGCAACACACACAACCAATCAAAATTCAAATTTATGACATCTACATGTATAGCTCTTCCTTGTTAGCTATGGCATTTTCAATGGCCAGCTCAACCACTAATTATTATTAAACAAATGAGGTACCGCTTAGGGTCCCACTCTTTTAAAACCCTGGGCTGGCTCAATAGGTAGGCCAACTAAGCAACTGTCTAGGGCATCAAAAAAAGAGGGCTCTCATTTTTGTTTAATCTTCACTTATTATTTTAGCTCAAAAAAATATTTTAAACACAAAAAGAGTTAATTATATACAAATTCTTAGAAAAAGCCCAAGTAAAATCAAGAGGTTCAATAGTCTCTTTTCAATAGTCAAATCACTAAAATATCAAATGTCGTAATACATTTAAGGTTCACGAATAAATTTCTCTCTCTTTCACACACTAACTTGTTTGCATTAAAAAAAATTGTATACTTAGTTACACATATCACTAAAAAAAACTCTTTTCTTTCCCATGGTCTATGTACACACATATAAACATTAATAAATTATTTTTTATACTTTTATAATATAAATATTTAATTCACTATTTTTTTTGTGAAGGTATAATTATTAGACAATTTTAAAGATGAATAAAGAATCAATTTATACAATCTCTATTTGTGATGTATTATTATTCCATTTTTATTAAACCTGACGATACACAAAATGGTTTTGCACACCACCTGTTAAGTATGAATAATAAATGCAAGAAAATAATATCAAGAGATGGAGAGACACAGACAATTTATAGTGGTTCGGTCAGCTCGACCTATGTCCACTTTTCAATGGCTCTGGTTGTCGGGTATTTTATTAATTCAAGGGTGTGGGGAGCAGAGAGTACAAGCTTTGAAGGAGAAGAGAGAGTCGTGCTCAGGTAAAAATGTGATGCCCCACAATTATTGGTGGGGCGTACAATTTATAGTGGCCCCTTAACAGGTTGGGGCAATTTTACAACAACTAAGCAACCATTTCAGTGAAGCTCACGACTTCTTCTCAACGGGCGAGGTGGTTGAGATGCTCTTCATGAGATGCGGTCAACGAGAAGGTGAGGGTGGACTGTTTCCTTGGCGGTGTAGGTAAGTCTCACATTCTCTCTCTCTGTTAATGATGTAGTTGAACTGATGAGACTGGACTTGGACAATGTTGGGCTTAGTGGGTCTTTATAAGACTAGGCTCTTCAAGTGAGATTTGGGTTTTCCAAATAAATTGGGTTCTTCTGAGCTTGACCCATCATTTGCCCCCCCAATGCCTTCTATGTCTAAGAAAACTTGGAGAATGAGGCATTGACTCTTCATTTGTGTAATGTATTTTTGACTTTGGTGCATACTTCAAGCTTTTCCCACTTTTGTTAGGATTTTTAAGAGGGCCCATAATTTTTAATTTGGGTTTTTCTTTCTTTTAAAAACCCTAAACTATAAATATAGTCTTCTTCTTCATTCTACCCATTTCACTCACCTTGAGATTGAAAACCATTCTTGAAAATCTTGAGAGCCCAAATTCTACCCATTTCACCTGCCTTGAGATTGAGCATCCATTCTTGAGAACTTTAAAAGCCAAAGTCCTACCCATTTCATTGGAACTTGAGCGGAAAAAGTGTGTTCTTCTTGAATTCTTCCAAGAGTATATTGATATAAATACATACCCATTTGTATATATATATATATATATATATATATATATATATATATATATATATATATATATATATATATATATAGGTGGAATTTCTTCCTTTCGAGTGGAGTTTTCAAGTGGGCAATGTCGATTGAAGAGGGAGTGGTGGAGATCAAAGGAAGGGATAAGGTAGGCGCCACTTTAGGCACTGGTTTGGGCAAATTTGAGGACTTTTCTTGCTTTAAAAGGAGTGCAGGGGGCTGCCCAGGCGCTGGTGGGGCTGTCCTGGACAGCTTGGGTGCTGAAGGAGCTGTCCTGGACAGCTTAGGCGCTGAAAATGCTGTCCTGGACAGCTCGGGCGCTAAAGGAGCTATCTTGGACAGCTTAGGCACTGAAAATGCTGTCTTGGACAACTTGGGCGCGCAAAATAGAGGGCTGGGTAGCTTGGGCGCACAGAGCAGAATGCTAGACAGCTTGGGCGCGCACAGCAGGGAGCTGGATAGTCGCGTGTAGCCCAAAAATGAGGTTGTCCAGACCATCAGGCGCGCAGCAGGCATGCACAGTGGGCGAGCAAGGGGTTGGGCAGCAGCCTGGGAGTAGGGGCAGGCCTGGGCGCCACTTTAGGCACTGATTCGGGCGCCTTTGGAGCTGTTTTGTGCAACTTTGGAGCGTCAGACAGCGTTGGGCTACCCCATTTGGGCGAGCACAAGTGGTCAGACACCTCTCCAGGTGCTGGACTATCTCGTTTGGGAGAGCATAAAGCATCAGACACCCCTCTAGATGCTGGGCTAAGCACTGCAGGCGACAAAGAAGCTTCGGGTGTCACTTTTGGTCATCACGATCTGACTCCTCTAAGTATGACTTCTCAAAGCCAAATCCCTCAAGATGATAGCTCGGGCCACTCCTTACGACCTCAAAAGAAGAAACGCAAAGGCAAACTAGGACTTGATGACGATGGGTCTAAGGTGAGTACCCTTTTTCTGTTTGTTCAATTCGGATGAAGATATCTTGAGGCTTGTTTCCACTTATCGTATTCCTCCGACTGTGCTGTGCTGCCGGGCTGAGACGGGTGAGCTTGCTTGCGACGCCTCCTTTAGTGATATTGTTGTTTACGAGGAAATGCTTGAGGATGGGCTAAGATTCCCAATGTCCCATCCCATTTGTCGTATTTTGTATTATTTTTCCTTGACTCTAGGGCGATTATTGCCCAATGGTTAGAGAGTTTTGTTGGGTTTTCTTGCATTATGGAGGAAAGTGCATCATGAGGATGATTCTCCTGTGGAGTTCCATACAGCATATAATTTTAGCGAAACTCCTACACTAAATAGGGGGTGGTACTACTTTACCATAAGAAGTGGTACGGTGCTCACGAGAATGCGCTCCAATTGTTGCGGCTAAAAATCTTGTTTCTTCTTTGTTGGTGGAGAGTGGGCCGCAGAAGTCGACAGAGGTTTGGTGCCAATACATTGGGGTGCTGCCAGAAAACCTGGTACGCTGCACATTTGTTTCTTCTTATTTATTTATTTTTTTCTGTGCTCACCATTCCCTTGCAGACACGCCCGTGATTTCTCAAGATCAAGAGTGGAAGTTGTAGGCCGTCAAGGCTTGCCCTAACAAAGATTTGGGAGCTCTTATGCCCAAGGATACTAGGGTCATTGCTCCCTCTAAAAAATCTGGTGGTTCTTCTTCAAAGAAAAAGGGTGAGTTAGTTTCCTCCTTTAATTTTCCCCTCCCTCTTGGTATTTTTCACCTCCCTGACACTTTATTGTTTTCGCAGCATATAAAAAGGTGGTAGTGTTTCACTATTCTAGTAGGAGCCCTCCTTCTTCCAAGGTGGCGAGGACGTGTGATGCCCCCCAAATGACTCCTACAATGGTGCCTCCTCAGCCAACGACTTCTTCAATTGCTACTCCAGAGTTTTCCTTATCAGGCACACCCTCTGCTCCTCCTTTGTCCCCTCCTCATGCGGGAACCTCCACTAGAGGACCAACTTGGCTTGGTCCCATGATGGGCAGACCGCCAGTCATTAGAAAAGGCTTGGGAGGTTTGTGTTCGCACCCGAAGTTTGTTAGCTTGGTACTTTTGGCACTGAGAGGATTGTTAACACATATTTGGAAGGTCTGGCTCAGATAAGGGTCTGTTATTTCCCTTTTTCCACTTCCTTCTTACGTCTTTGGTCACCTTTGCACTTTTCATCTTCTTCAGGTTTCGACATCATCTATCTACTTGATTTCAAAGGCCTATAATCACGAAAAATTGAAGCTGAATTTTGACGTCATGCAAAAAAAGCTTCTTATTGTTCAAGGGAGGATTACCGAGTTTGAGGCAGCTGATAGTGCTTCTTAGGATGAGCTTGTGACAGCTCACGAGAGGGCATCTAATTTTGAGTCTGAGCTTTTGGCGACCCGTGAGAGGGAAA